CCAACGACCTCCAACATCCATCTTTATTTTGATTAAATACGGATTGGGTGGGAAACAATATATATTCATTCTTTATTTGTGAGAACCTTGTTTTTGAGTTTTAAATTGGTCTTCTGAGCAAATTGAAGAAATCAAAACAAACATTTTTGACAATACAATAAATAAAATGATCAAAACAATAGGATTACAAAAATAAATTCACTACATATTTTCAGCTGTTGTGCTATAGTTCGTTAAAGTCTCTTTCGAAGTTTGTAATCAAAAATTAAACTTCTAAGCGTAAATACATAGTAAACTACATATTATCTTTATTATTATTTACATTACACAATGAAACGACCTTTCATATTGTATTATGAATGTGTAAACATTACATATTGTAATATAAGTATTTGTATTACGTTACATAATGTTGTATGAATGATGTTAAATGATAAACATTAAATTAAGTATATGTAAAGTTTATCTATAACATGGAATGGGAAAATAGACAAATAATTCAATGGGAATAATGGATAAATATATTTATATGTGTGATTATATATATTAATGTCAAGATTAAAAATCAAAGAATGGGAATATATAATATAAAAGAATGGGAAGATTAAGAATAAATTAATAGGAAGACTGAGAATAAATTAATGGAAAGATCAAGAATAAATAAATGGGAGGACTGAGAATAAATTAATGGGAAGATTAAGAACAAATGAATAGGAAGAGATAGAATAAAAGAATCGAAAGATTAAGAATAAATGAATTTAGATTTTTTTTAGTTTTTTGGACTTTAATATCAATATTAATAAGTATTTTAGGACAAAAAGAAAAAATCTGCAAGGTCGTATTGTAATTGTAAACATATGTCCTCCATTTTGTTTGAATGATTTTTAAGAATTAAAAAGTGTATTGTTGCTTTAAACCAGTGACATAAATCAGTATTAATCTACCTTTATCTGGACACAATACTAGAGTACCTATCTTACTTCCTCTTTTCATAGAGAACATAGTTATAGAGTAGTTAACTTTCTTCCTCTTTTCATAGACAAGATATTTATAGAGTAAATAACTTACTTCATCTTTTAACAGAGAATATATTTATAGAGTAAATAACTTACTTCATCTTTTAACAGAGAATATATTTATAGAGTAGCTAACTTTCTTCATCTTTTAACAGAGAATATATTTATAGAGTAGCTAACTTACTTCATCTTTTAACAGAGCAGATATTAATAGAGTAATTAGGTTACTAAATATTTTCCTTATAGAGAAGGTGCCTTGCTATCTCTCTTCATTTTATTAGTTGACTTACGTAAACTAAGTTGAACCCCTTCTCTTTATCTTAAACCTGCAAACAAGATAAGTGGCTCAACTGAATCTACTTAGCTTAACTAGATTAACTTAGTTTTCTTGCTATTTATTGAATTTGGTTCCAAACATTTTTAGTAAAAATGCTGATAACCTTCCGTTGAATATGCAATTATTGCAGAAATAGTTTAAAAAATCAAATTGTAATTATTTCAGAGAACCAAAGAAACTATTTATAGTTTAAAAAGAGGTGGGAAAGGAATTTGTTAAATTCTCATGACTGAATAGTTGTCAAATTCCTGGCAAAAAGATAGATAGATAGACAAATAAACAGATAGATAGACAAATATACAGATAGATAGACAAATATACAGATAGATAGACAAATATATAGATATCAGACAAATATACAGATAGATAGACAAATAAACAGATATCAGACAAATATACAGATAGATAGATAGACAAATAAACAGATAGATAGACAAATATACAGATAGATAGACAAATAAACAGATAGACAAATATACAGATAGATAGACAAATATATAGATATTAGACAAATATACAGATAGATAGACAAATATACAGATAGATAGACAAATATATAGATATCAGACAAATATACAGATAGATAGACAAATATATAGATATCAGACAAATATACAGATAGATAGACAAATAAACAGATAGATAGACAAATATACAGATAGATAGACAAATATACAGATAGATAGACAAATACATAGATATCAGACAAATATACAGATAGATAGACAAATATATAGATATCAGACAAATATACAGAGAGATAGACAAATATACAGATAGATAGACAAATAAACAGATAGATAGGCAAATATATAGATAAATAGACAAATATACAGATAAATAGAGAAAAATACAGATAGATAGACAAATATATAGATATCAGACAAGTATACAAATAGATAGACAAAAATGCAGATAGATAGACAAATATACAGAAAGATTGACAAATATACAAATAGATAGACAAATATACAGATAGATAGACAAATATATAGATATCAGACAAATATACAGATAGATAGACAAATATACAGATAGATAGACAAATAAACAGATAGATAGACAAATAAACAGATAGATTGACAAATATACAGATAGATAGACAAAAATGCAGATAGATAGACAAATATACAGATAGATAGACAAATAAACAGATAGATAGACAAATATATAGATAGATAGACAAATATATAGATATCAGACAAATTTACAGAAAGATAGACAAATGTACAGATAGATAGACAAATATATAGATATCAGACAAATATACAAATAGATAGACAAATATACAGATAGATAGACAAATATATAGATATCAGACAAATATACAGATAAATAGACAAATATATAGATATCAGACAAATATACAGATAGATAGACAAATAAACAGATAGATAGACAAATATATAGATATCAGACAAATATACAGATAGATAGACAAATAAACAGATAGACAGACAAATAAACAGATAGATAGACAAATATATAGATAAATTGACAAATATACAGATAGATAGACAAATATACAGATAAATAGACAAATATACAGATAGATAGACAAATATACAGTTAGATAGACAAATATGCAGATAGAAAGACAAATAAACAGATAGATAGACAAATATATAGATAAATTGACAAATATACAGATAGATAGACAAATATACAGATAGATAGACAAATATACAGATAGATAGACAAATAAACAGATAGATAGACAAATATACAGATAGGTTGACAAACAGACAGACAAATAGATTTGGACTTCTTTTACAGACAGACAGACAGACAGACAAATAGACAGATAGATAGATAGATATATAGATAGATAGATAGATAGATAATTGAAAATCTACAAAGGCAAAAAAATCCGCAAAATCCGCAAGCCCTCGGGTTTATCATTGAATCCCCTCTTTAAAAAGGAATGTCATTTACTCTCGGACAAATTAGAATCAATGGAAATTAGTCTGAGAGTAAATGATACATTTATAATGTTAAAAAATTGTTCTTTCAGTAAAAATTACCGAAATTCTCTTCCATTTTTTAAAAATTATATTGTTATTCAATTTCTCTAGATATCATTAAAAATGCATATTATTAAACTTCTTATCCTTTCATTATCAATTTCGTGATGTTTTGAAATGAAATTGTATTTTATAACTTTACCAGCTGGTTCCCATCCCAGGAATAAAATATATTTGCATGGCGTGCGTGGATCAACAAGATTTGCGGAAATCTTGTGTATTTGCAAATGTTTACCGAGTGTTTTTATAGCAAATTTTCAACACTATTTTTTAGCAGCACCCAGCAGTTTTAACGTGAACGACTTTTCCTCTTTTTTGTTAAATATGTATCAGGGGCTTGGGGGCAGGGGAGAGGAGGTATAATTTATAAATGCAATAATTAAGATTTATTTTTAAATATTTAAAATTACGAGGTTTAAAAAAAATGAGGAATCACTTCAGCACAAAAAAAAAATAAAAACTACAAAAAGAATTATAAATCAATCGGCCATTTAACAATAAACGCCAATTTTGAGACAAACACAAATAAAATCAATTTAATTAAAAAATGTTT